TAAAAAAATCGATAAATATCTATAACAAAATCGATAAATATCGATAACAAAATCGATAGAAATATCCATAACAAAATCGATAAAATATCGATAACAAAATCGATAAATATCGATGATGTAAACCCACGCACAGCTGTCGATAAAAATATCCATAACAGAATCGATAAATATTGATAACAAAATCGATAAATATCGATAACAAAGTCGATAGCAAAATTGATAAATATCGATAACAAAAAAAATAAAAATATCGATAACAAAATCGACAAAAAATATGGCTAACAAAATAGTTAAAAATATCGATTACAAAATCGACAACAAATTGATAAGAACATCGATAACAAAATCGATAAAAATAGCGATTATTATATCGATAAGTTCCGAAAATATCCATAGCAAAATTGATAATATCGATAAATAAATGGATAAAAATATCGATAGCAAAACCGATAAGAATATCGATTATTTTATCAATAAGTCCCGAGAATCCCGAAAATCTCTAAAATCCCAAAATAGTTCCCAGATTGAGTCTCTGTGTCTCTCTCTATATCCTTTCCTCTTTAATTACATTTATTTTAATCATTCTTCCCCTATCTTCATCTTTTCTTTTATCGGTATCCTTATCCTCCTTTTTATCTTTACTTTTATGTTTATCATTTTCTTCATCTACATATTCCCCTTCACCGTTGCCCTTATATATATAAGTAATTTACCTTGGTCTTCATTTTGGCCCTTATCTTTACGCATCTTTGTTTTTGCTTTATTTTTACCTTTGCCTTTATCCTTTTCTTTATCTATGTACGTAGTCAACTTTACTTTCATTCTTGTATTGGTATTTTTCTAAGTGTTATTCTTTAACCTTTTATTAGCAAATTTTTGTTAAATTAATACCATATGCATACACACAAGAAGCACTTGTTTCAGCCCCAACCATTTCCGTTGCACCATTTCCGTGTGCAATTTCCGTCTGCAATTTCCGTTGAATTTGCCAATTTATTCCCAAGCAACCAACCGCTGCTAAAGAAGTTTCACTTCAAAAATTATAACAGTTTCATAGTCAACCACTTTAGGTACTTTTAGTGGTACTACACGTTAAAAAATGATATTTAAAACCATGCTAGTCGGACGACTAACATTGGGTATAACGTATATTTAAAAACTATCAATGGTTATGTAGGGTTAGAAAAGAGCACAGCAAAATAAGTTCAAATTTTTTGTTTTTAGATCAAAGGTAAAACAAATAAAAATTAGTGAAAAGTCCACGTTTGGTCTTATTTTAACTTTTTTTTAATACTTTATTTCATTTAATTGTTTAATTTAATTGATCTGAAAAGAAGGTTTTTCAAATAGTGGTCACCCCTCTTCTTGGTGCAAAAATATGAGGTTAAGCCAATGAAATGATATGAAATGTATATGAATAGAAACACGCTCAAGAAAGCTTCATCTCAGAAATATTTTGGGAGAAAGTGGGCCCTGTTTAAGAAGTAAAATAAAATTTAATGAACGCGTTAAGGATTTTTTATAATTTGAGTGTACGAGTTTAAGAAAACTTTATTTCAAAAATATTTTAGAAGAGGGTTACCGTCTGTTCACAAAGTTGATTTCTTTCATTCATCAACAGGATTGCCTCGCCTATTAAAAATAGAATTTAATGGAAATGATATGATACATGATTTGCTATAATATGGGTGTCAATCTTGAGATTTGAAAATATATCCAAGAGCGTTGCCACCAGTTTGAATAGTCAAATTGAATTAAATTTGAAAGCTCCGTAATATATCACAATCAGGGTGTTATTTACACAAACTAATTTTGAAAGCATTTTGAAAAAATGTTGAAAATTCAAATAATTTTTGTTCTATTTAAATCAAATCAAGTACAAGAATGTGACAAAATCGGATCAATTTATCTTATAGCTTTTATACAACTGATTGCCCAGATATGAGATTTTGCTTTAAAACTACATTTAAACAATTTTTGTTTTGTTTTAAACTAAATAAGTACACAAAACAGTTTAGCCAGTAATATTTTGTTAACTATTTTATTCTCAATCATAAAAATTTATGATGAGATTTTGTAAGCTGATTACTTATTAATCAAATAAAATATTCTGGGTAAGTCATCAAAATCGATGCTCCATAAGGTATATGTCCGATGCCACTGACTATTCAATTTTTAAAATTCTAATAAAGAAATTTAAAAACGCTTTCAAAAATAATAATAAGCTTCCAAGTTTTTTCAACGTTTTGCACTTTATCTCGACCTTTTTCATTTCGGCAGGAAAAGATTTCGACATTTTTCGTTTCAGCAAGACGTGATTTCGACATTTAATGTTTTTTTAATCGATATTTCTGTTTCGACATTTTTATTTTCGGCTTAATTTTTATAAATTTTACAGAATTTTCTATTTCATTTTGTACCTTTGTTATTCTACACTGCACTAAATTTTTTAAAAAAGTTTTT